TTGAGTGAATGTGGCCATTTTCGTGGTGATCTCTTTTATGAAATACCATTGTGTCAAATATAAGAATTTGAGTTATGGGAGTTGCCATGTTTGATATTTTCTTTGGGATTTTTGCTGTCTTTATGGTTAAATGAAAGAATAGAAAAGGGGCTTGATTTTATTTTTTTACTTGTTAATGCCGAGTCGGACTGTTTTGTTAAAAGGATCATTTAAAAATCACACATGATATATCATGGGATCTGTGTGATTTGAACCTGTTCTATAAATCTTACATTTTTTAAATTACAACATAGTACATCTGACAGGCAGAAAACTTATGGAACTTGTACTGATGTGCACTCTGTCAAGAAAAAAATATATCTTTAGGTGATGTAAGATGGAATGTACATCTTTGTACCTGTTTTAACCCTTAAACGGCATAGGCTACACTGCATTAATAGTCTGCCTTTAGAGTGGATATTAATACTGCTAATATTAATTATTTATAAGTAGAAACTGTAAGGCACAAAGGTTGCTGCCCTTGCTGCACAATGTTTAGTCTGGATTAGTCATCCTAAGAGGTAGCTTAGATTTTCAGTACACATGGATGTTTTGAGTTAATTATTTGCACATTTTTGAATTTCTAACCCCTAGGTTTTACCAGTAGGCATTTGTGCATGTGAAATCGGTGAGGGCAATCATCTGGCCCCAAACAAGTACATCTGGTGCTGCTTTACACTATATCAGTGGAGTAAATGTGGCACTGAAAGGGAGTGCTTGTCAGAGATACTTTGGGAACAAAGGGCCCCGCTGTGCAATTATGTTTCTCTTTAAATAGCTGTAGGGGGGCAACAGTCTACAAGAAATCTATCTGTTGCACAAACCTACAGTGGCCAATGTGAGATGATTCGGTGCTTGAGCTCCTTGGTAAAACAGTGTACTCTCTATCTAGATGTGTCAGTAAGAAATATAATTAAAGAAAAGGAATTAGAGGACAGCAGACCTGTAAATTTGCTGTTGACATGTTCTTCTCTCCCTCGCTCTCATTCTGTGTGTGTCGGGCTGAGCTCCGTCGTATCGATTCCTTCCCATCGCGTAACCCCACCACAGTGCTGTCACACGTGTTGAAAGCAGAGCTTGATAAAATAAGCTGTCAGATAGACAAGGTGCCAGATGGCTGGTTTGACTATATTCCAATACAGATCTATCAGAGTCCATTACACTACAGATCTTTTTGTTGTAAGTTTCTTTTCTCTTTGGCACACTTACACAGTCATGCAGAATAGTTTAGGCTGGTCACACCACTGGTGAACTATTGAGAGCCTCGAGGAGCGAATAAAGTGATTGTTTGAACATGTGAAAAGCTTTCTTGGCTCTTGCACAGTGGTGCACTGCTAATCATTTCTCTTAAACCATATTTTTTCTTGTCTTTCAGTAAAAAGCCTATTACTTATGTAAAATAAGAAAAAAAATGGTTGAGAAAGATGTTAAGATAGTAGGATTGGCATAGCACAAATCTAGTGAGGTTTATACTAAAAGAAGACAAAATTATTTGCCAAAGGGGAAATAAAAATAAAAACGAATTCAAGATACAGCAGAGTATGAAAGTCTACTTCGAAAATATGGGATTGAAAATCAAATGATCTTTTGGGATCATTCTCAAATCATTCTGTAAAAGATGATCGCGAGGTTTTCATGAACTTGTGGAGTTTACAGGGGACAAACCAAATTCTAGCACATTTTAAAATTAATATTTATATTTTCACGGAAACTTTTCACCCAAATTGCTATGTATAAATATATATGATAATTAATTTTAAAATTATTTGAAATTAATTTAGAAAGTATAGGCATTTTAACTAGTGGCCTTTGAACCACACTTAAAACAAGCCACATTGTTTTTGTTATTTTACATTTTTTCCTCTGATGTAAAGGTATCTTGCTTTCAAGATGTTTACTGGAAAACAACACAAAAATATTGAAAAAGAAGATGATTTTTTGCAGGCCTGTATTACGTCGGTGCATGGGAGAGCACCTGACTTTTTGGTCCTTTCATCTGCAAATTTCTCTCTCCTTCAGACTGTGAAAGACCACCGGGATTAGTCTAATCCTGCACCTCAGCGCTTTATTTCTCATTCCTTAGACACTCTGTACGTTAGAGCCTATTTTAATGGTTGAGTATGTGTGTGTGTGTGAGAGAGAGAGAGAGGGAGAAACAGAAAGACTATGAGAGGGGAAGGTCTTCTGGGAGAGCTTGTCTGAGCTCCTTGGCTAATGAGGAAGTTGTGGTGCCCTATTTTGGGTTTCTTGGGGTTTTCCATTCGGCTCTCTCTGTTTTATCCCACCTTTAATGCCATTATTGAGATTTAATCCTGTAGAGCACAGGAAGGATGCCACTACTCAGTTAAGAAAAATGAGGAGGAAGAAAGTTCTCTCCTCTATTTATCTCGGTTCTGCCATCATTAGTTGGCTCAGAGGAGGCATGACTAATGTATGCCACCAGGAAGATGTTGCTGGGCTAATTGAATGGCTAACGCAAGAGTGTTTGTGATAAAATAATAATGTAGCTTGGCTCGTTCAGGGAGAAGGAGCGAGTTGGTATTGAATGTTCGAGTGTGAGTTGTGTACCTGGAGGTGAGCAGGAGAAATAAAGGACAGTAATCGGAGACGTCCCCCCAGAGTGCACACTCATAAAGCTGAGTGGTTAGGAAGAGCACCATGTTTAAATATGCATGATGGCAGATGTTTCTGTTTTTCATTCTGAACATTGTTATTTCCTCTGTTCTACAATTCCTAAACATTGAAACCAGGCAGCGGTAACATGCTCACACACCTCAACAACATACAAACATAGAAATCTAGACATTACCAGGGAATCGAAATCTAAACCTGTAAAGAAACAAAGATTTTGGTCTCGTTATGATGTCAAATGAATGAGAAATATTTCAGATTCTGCACCATTTCTGGTTTACTAATCAAAAAAGCAAAAATGTGAAACTAACCGAGAGCAATCTTCTGTAAAAGTAGTTGTTTCGATGACAAAAATCTACCAAAGCCTTCATATTTATTGCACCAGTTTGCTTGATGACTCTCCTTTTGACCTGAATCTTTTTGAGCCCAAAGTCACAGTTTTATGTTCTTCAAATAATTACACGATTTTTTTGATGCATTTGCACCAAACGGTAGGCAATTCTGCGGTATATCTTAGGATTGCAAAAGATTTAGAACACAGCCCGCAAATTTGGATGGGGTTGAAGTGGCCAGCTGCACAGAAACAAACATCGAATTCAGTGTTTGAACAATGATTCCTGCGCACAACAAGAAATGAACAAACACTGTTAGCCAGATGCATTGGTGCATTTCAAAGCTTGACCAGCCTTTCGCAAGGACAAGTTTTGACGTTTTTCAACCAGCTTTGTATTGTTACAATGTCAAGAGTAAATGTAGATGAGCAATGTACTCTTTCTTCAAGTGACCTGCACCCAGATCTTCTAGTTCATTTGTCAGCTATAGTTAAAATGCAAAAAGCGTTATCCATCAGACTATTGAGAGCTCTAGAGTTTTTGTTAAATCTACATATCGTACTTTCGCATTTTTGTATTCCTGCACAGTCGGATCGGTCCCAGAATATTATAGGTGTTGAAGTTTTACTAAATCCCATCTTGTTGGTGGTGAATTAATCCTTTAAACGTACTTAATGTACATCATTAGAATAGAACGTAAATTTGGTTGACGAAAATAATAGTAATTTATAAACAGAGCTGAAACAATCTAGTGACTGTTATTGTGGTGTATTTAAAGCATACAGTAATCTAATTTCAAAGTGAATATGCACACCCATTCACAAACTTAGGCCGGATCTTCTGGAGAAGATTCATAGCTTCACTGAGAGTATTTTTGTGATTTAGGTGTAAAACTTGTCTATGCATCTTGATGAGATTTGATGCATAGCTTTAAAACGTAGTAAACTGTCAAATTACTTACCTTGTATAGCGTTATTCTCAGTGGCTCACACTTTGTATATTAAAAAGGCTGTTTGGCGTAAGGTACTAGCAAAACTGTTTGAACGCAAATAAATAAACCTTGAGTAGATTTTGTGGTGAAAGAAAGGTTTCTTTTAAGGTTTATTGCAGTCATGTCTCAAATACAATGAGTGTATTTACATGTTAACAAAATGCTGATAATTGTAAAAATCAGCTTGACTTTGTGAGGTTACATTGAAAGTATAAAGTTTAAGTATACATAACACAATGCTTAATCAATATTACATTTTAAAAATATGAATTATTCCCTTGGTCTGACTAAAATTATTCTTTTAATGAACATGTAAATACACATACTGACATGCAGGCTCAAAATCTGCAGACTTCTGCATTGATTTGGATTGAACATCTTTGGAATGGTAATTACATTGCAAAATCTGACAGTACTAAGCTCAGTTGCACTTTATTTTAAGGTGTCCTTGTTACAGTGTAATTATACATTTAAGGGCTGAGTAATATTAATTAACTACATGTACTTACTATATGGTTAGTGTTTTGCTTAGGGTTACTTGCATGTAATTATGCATAATTAATTGTTATTATAATAGTAAGTACATGTAACATGTGTAACAAGGACACCTTAAAATAAAGTGTTACCAAGCTCTTATTGGTAACTGTTAGCATGGTAAAATACCTTCCAGTTGAAAAACTCATCACGTCTTTAAGGTCAACCTCTCAGGCAAGGTTTTCCCTCCATTTTCAATGTAGTAAAAAGGTTGCTCTGCTTTGGAATGTGTGGAATTTATGTGGGCTTCTTCATTTGTTAAATGAACACTTGTAATAGAATTTTCTGCATTATGGGAAAGAAGTTATGCCCTTGAAAGGTTTCAGACATTAATGTGTGTATTTTTGTCAGCGCATGATCTCTGCTATCCGAACTTGCAGTGCGATGTGATTCTCCAGATAAAATCTTGAGCGAATGTGATTTGTCTGGCTAGACGAGACAGACAGGAAACACTGTTCATTCGATCGGTACTTATGGGCAGCTGTCACATGCAGCCATATGGTGGTGAAACGGAGCTCGACTCCCAGGGGGCTTTGGGTCGATCCGCCACAGGTGTGCCAGAAGGTGTGAAGTTCAGTCCTTATTAACCTTGTGCACACAAACACAGTATTCCAAGGGTACCTCCAAAAAAGTCACAGACAGAGCTACGTCCTTCATTTAACATGGGTTCTGTTCCTGCTTGTCTATTTTGGAAAATGAAAGCCAAAGAGCTCAATGGTAGATTAATGATGAGAGTATAAATACTGCACTAATGGCCGGGCTATTCTTACTGGACCATCTGTTACGAGAGACAGGGTAGTGCTCACTTACATGCATTTGTTACCAACATGGCTAGCATCAACAACCATCAGTGACTGAAGCCACAGCTCAAAAATCACTTCTGAAATGCTGAAACGTTACTGTATGGGAAAATCTACTTACTACAGTTACAATTTGTACCAATTTGTGGCCATTGTTCTTTGTTGGTCAATGGGTATTGCTCACACGAAAGCCTGTGTATTCACCAAAATGGGAACATGGTTTGTGTAACGTTAGCAACACATTAGTAGCTGTTTGATAGTATAGTCAAGCCAAAGGCTAATGATATTAATTATATGTCAGATGTTGTGAGTGATACATAAAATGCATTATGATGTTCTGAAACATAGTCTTGATTTGTTCGGACAACCCAACAGCTAATTGATTTTGAAAATATGTAGTTCTGTACATCTCTGCTGTTACCAGACACCTGAATAAAAATTCTTTCAGCCAATGAAATTGCTTTGAGGTCCTTTGGGACTTGATTCATTGGGTAGACCGAATTGTTCATGACACCGATCCTTGAGTAGCATGCAAATTTGAGAAATAATAAAAACATTTTTAAAAAGAAGTAAGGTTTTCTGTTTTCATAGCTACCCAGAAGTTGCCTGTTCAAATATCTGCCTGACGTTATCTTAAAATAAAAGATGTGTAGGATTTCACTTTTATTTTCTATGTAGAAAATAAATCATTTTAATGCTTTCATTACCCCACATCTATAAAAGATTGCACATTACACAGCGTAATATAATTTTTCTGTTCATACAACAGTGGGCTGGTAGCAGTAACTCACATTAGTATGAGCTTTAGGTAATACTAATGCAGATGCTCAGTAGCTTTGCACCCTGCGGGTTAACGATACTCATCCATTTGCATATTCATTTAGCAGATGTTTTAGTTCAAAGAATCTTTGCCCCAATTTAAATACTATCAAGTTAGCTTGATTTGATCCTGCTAACACTGTGATTTGCATAATGTAATACACAAAACAAATACGTTTCAAATATTATGTATGTTTTAAGCTTTGCTCGTATTTACTGAAATCTGCTGAGGAGAAAATCATGCTATGCTCTAAACAACAACAACAACAACAACAGATACTATGAAATTGAAATGTTTATCTGACTGATTATTCAAATGATTAAATTTTAAAAGAAAACCTTGTAAAAGATGAATAATATAAAATTTATTTAAATGTGAGCACGGATATATTAAACACACACACCTTTCAAAACTACTATACTACTATGTATATACTGTATATATATCTCAAAACTACTATATATATATATATATATATATACACAGTACTTCTTTCTAAAACATTAGTAAAAGGAGGTCTTTTTAAATACTATCAAGTTAGCTTGATTTGATCCTGCTAACACTGTGATTTGCATAATGTAATACACAAAACAAATAAGTTTCAAATATTATGTATGTTTTAAGCTTTGCTCGTATTTACTGAAATCTGCTGAGGAGAAAATCATGCTATGCTCAAAACAACAACAACAACAACAACAGATACTATGAAATTGAAATGTTTATCTGACTGATTATTCAAATGATTCAATTTTAAAAGAAAACCTTGTAAAAGATGAATAATATACAATTTATTTAAATGTGAGCACGGATATATTAAACACACACCTTTCAAAACTACTATACTACTATGTATATACTGTATATATATCTCAAAACTACTAAGAATTTTTATGGAATTGTTAAGGAACCAGAATCATGAAAAATTATGTTTTCAATACATTTCTCTAAATAGATTGAGCTGAAAGCACAAAATCTGCGAGCTGATTTTTCCTGTGAAGCACTGAATCCACTGAATGGAAATGGAAGTGACCCCAGCGCTGGAGTGCCACAACTCCTACTCTGAAATTCTCTATTGTGTTTGCAGTGTCATATGGTGTGTGTGTGTGTGTGTGTGTGTGTGTGTGTGTGTGTAGTCTTCCTCTTCCACTCAGCCTGCTTGTCTCTGGCTCATTATCATTCTTCACAGACTTACTTATCCTGAGACTTCGTCTGCTTGTCTTGTTTCAGCACTGCTGCATCACTCTGTGCCACCTCCCTCCTCATCTCTCCCTCTCTCTAACACACAGACACACGCGCACATACCCACTCGTTTGTCTCGGCTAAGTAGTCTGCACCATCGCTGAGGATGATGAGCTGCACAGCCAGACACAACTGATCTGGCAATATTTAAATTTTATGCATGTCTCATCTCAGCGAGAGAAATTATACCGCCCATCTGTGCTCTGCTCTCTCTTTCTCTTCTGTATCTTATTTTCTCTATTTTCTCTTCTCATTAATTTGAACACAGGTCAGTTTGTCTACATGAGTATCATATACATGAGTATCATATATTTATTTATATTAATCTTTCCAATAATTCCGCAAAACCAGCCAGATAAACATAGTTATTTACTGGATTTTGGAAAGTTTTGAGCACAGCGTGATTTTCTCTTCAGAAGTATTCAGTAATGAGAAAAGCTTAAAGGGGTCATAGGACGTTGCTAAAAAGAACATTATTTTGTGTATTTGGTGTAATGAAATGTGTTCATGTGGTTTAAGGTTAAAAAATACATTATTTTCCGCATACTGTACATTAGTGTTGCTCCTCTATGCCCCGCCTTTCTGAAACACGTGTGATCGGAGAAACAACAAACAACAAGCGCTACTCTACACTGCTCAAAACTCATGTTTGACTCGTCAGTGGCAAATTCTTTAAATATAAAAAAATTTACTTACAGGCTGTGAGTCAGAAGCGCCAGACTGTCCTTGCAAAGTTGGAATTGCCCCACTTTATAGAAACAGCCTTTGTGTGTAGACGGCATTGTACGCTACTTTCCCAGGTTCAGGAAACCTTCCTCCATAAAATGCGTTGCACACACACAAATATTTGGGTTGAACTGTTCTGGAACAGTGTTGTAAATACTACTACAGCGAGAATAAAAGTTACGCCTTCTTTCTTTACGTGTAAATTTGGCCGGTGTTATGCAAATCTTCCTACATCGTGACGTAGACATGTGGGGGCGTGTTTAAACTATGCATTTTAGGAGGGCGTGGATGAGTCTTAACTTTTATAAAGAATATCTCTTTGGTTTTGAGACTTTAGTCTTTGCAACTTTAGGGATCTTATCTATGCACTAACAGCTTGTAACACTCCAAAGAGAAAGGAAAACTTGAAATCGTATCATATGACCCAAAGAAAGACCCAAACTTATTTGTGTTGTGTATTAAACTTACAACATGTTATGCAAATAACACAATGTTAGCAGGATCAAAAAAAAGGGAAAAAATATGAAACGTATATATTTACAGAGTTCATACTTTATTCATACAATATCAAAAGTTCAAAGAAAAAAAAAGTATCTTATGTTCACCAAGGCTGCATTTGTACTGTTATTTTCATTATTATTTCATTAATAATAAAAAATACCTTTAGTATGTAGCATGTTTTGTACAATATCTGTTTGTAATCCATAACCTATATTTGTGTTTATTTCATGACAGGGTTTGAAGAGCAGGACACTGATCTTTTTCTGTGCGACACAAACACATGCAAGTTTGACGGCGAGTGTCTGCGGATCGGGGACACAGTGACATGCATCTGTGACTTTAAGGTAGGAATCAGTGCTCCTCACGCATTTGTGTGCTTTATTAGCACCACGTGTTGAATGTGTGACCTTGTTAAAGGCATTACCACACGCGGAGTAAATAAACTGTCACAAATTAAAATACACCTCCACATGCCTTCTCACAGAAAACGCACACACATTCTCTCGCTTGGTCAGAGTGCTCTGCTTCGCTCAGACATCATACATCTGTGTCTTGTTGCAGGCCAAGCGGCATCACTCAGGTAAATAGCATTATCTGTCTGCTCACGCAGCGAGTGGGGGGGAATTTCCTTTGATGCATCTGCTCGATCGCCCAACCTCTCTCGGCACAAAGATGCCTTGTGCACTTAAGAAGGGTCACGCTGCTTTCATTTCTGCCCTTAATACAATTGAGCGGCACTAACGCTAGTCTGGGGCCATGTGAGTGCCTCTAGCTGTGGTGGGGAGGGTTATTGGTTAAGTATCATGCGCCGCGAGAGACGGTACCCAGCCGTGTGTGGGGATGCCCTACTCCTGCGGTTGGATGCCCTGCCCTGCCCTGCCCTGCCCTCCCTTGCCTCCCAAACAGAAAGTGGAATGAGAGAAGTGTGTGTAAGAGAGAGATGAATGGATGCGATTCGCACAAGTTCACTTACTGACATGCTATTGATCCAACTCTCATACTCGGAGAGAGAGAGCGAAGGACCAAAATGGAAGGCGATCAGTCTCTTTCTGGACCGCTAGCAACACAAAATGGTATTGCAATCTGTTTGCTTGAGTGATCTGAGGCAGGTATAAAAAACACTTGCACATTTAACTAGTATGAGTTTGGGAGTGGGACAGTGGAGGGTGATGGGGAGTGTTTGAAATAAATTATTGAATTGTTTTTAAATTGACATGGCACCTTATGAATAGAACACTCATGGCGTGAGATGTTTAAAAATGTATCTGACACATGTAGATACAGACCAGCATTTAATAAACAATCAGAGACAAAAAAGCAATTACATATGTTGTGTGAACACTTTGCTAATATAATACAATACCGATCATAAGTTTGGGGTCTTTTGAAAGTAGTCTGTTATGCTCACCAAGGTTGCATTTATTTGATCAAAAATATATTAAAATTGTAAAATATTTTTACAATTTAAAAGTTAAAACAAATGTTTTCTATTTGAATATATTTTTAAATGTGATTTATTCCTGTGATACAAAACAAAATTTTCAGCATTTTTACTTCAGTCTTCAGTGTCACATGACCCTTCAAAATCATTCTAATATGCTGATTTGGTGCTTAAGAAACATTTCTTATTATTATTACTATAAATGTTGAAATGAGTGGAAAATATTATTACTATAAATGTTGAAATGAGTGGAAATTATTATTACTATAAATGTTGAAATTAGTGAAATTCCAGGACGTGCTTAAATGGTGTGGAAATCATAATAGAAAGTTCAAAAAAACTGAATTTATTTTAAACAGAATTCTTCTGTAACATTATAAATGTCTTTAATGTCACATTTGATCAATTTAATGCATCCTTGCTGAATAAAATGACTCCAAACTTTTGAACAGTAGTGTATATGTGAATTTGAAATACCCACCTTTATGTCCTGCACTCTTAAAAATAAAGGTGCTTCAAAAGGTTCTTCACAGCGATGCCATAGAACAGGGTTCCTCAAATCTTGCCCTGGAGGGCCAATGCGCTGCAGAGTTTAGCTCCAACCCTAATCAAACTCACCTACCTGTGATTTTCTAATGATCCTGAAGACATTGATTAGCATGCTCAGGTGTGTTTGATTAGGGTTAGAGCTAAACTCTGCAGGAAAGTGGATCTGGTGGGCCAGATTTGTGGATCCCTGCCATTGAAGAACCATTTTTGGTTCCACAAAGAACCATCTCTTTCTTACCTTTTTATAATCTGAAGAACCTTCTTTCACCACAAAGAACCTTTTGTGAAACAGAAAGGTTCTTCAGATGTTAAAGGTTCTTTATGGAACCATTTAGACAAAAAGGTTCTTCTATGGCATCGTGAAGCACCTTTATTTTTAAGAGTGTGTGTGCGGTGGCTGTCAGTGTATTTTCATCTGCATAAATGTCAAGCAAAGTGCTTTTTCTCTCTTTAATTTATCCTTGCACTCTAGCCATCTGTCTTGCAATGTGTGATCAAATGGCTATGTGCAAGTGCCAAATCACTATATAATATCTGGTCTGGCATGGCTTTGAGTCTGTCATGTTCCAATTTAGAAATGAAACACGCTGAAAAACATACACTGACACTCTTTAAATTGCACATCTGTGCAACTGTTCAACAGAACCAGTAAATTTCCATTACTGATTTGAGCTTTGTGCATGAATTCTACTCTTGTACTGGTTCCTGTCTCAGATCCAATTTCCTGTTGGATGCATTGTTGTTGAACATGAACCACAATTTAGAAATGAAACACGCTGAAAAACATACACTGACACTCTTTAAATTGCACATCTGTGCATGTAACTGTCATGCAATAATGGATCTGAGACAGGAACCAGTACAAGCGTAGAATTCATGCACAAAGCTCAAATCAGTAATGGAAATTTACTGGTTCAACAGAACTGTCCAATTTCCTGTTGGATGCATTGTTGTTGAAGAATTTTTTTTCTTTTCTGAAATAGGATATTTTTAAATAAAAATGTTCTAGAAAACTTTGAAAATAAGCTGCAAAAATATCTAATTTTACATTTCCACAACTTCGTCATCATGGTTCATGGTTCATGATTCCTGGTCCTGGAAAGCCACTTTTCCTGCAGAGTTTAGTTCCAGCTGTAATTATTGGTAAATGTATATAAATAATCAAAGTCTTTGGGTTCGCTTAAAAAGCTAGGTGTGTTGGAGCACGATCAGTACTAAACTCTACGGGAAAAGCGACTCTCCAGGACCAGAAATTAGAATTAGATGAACACATGAATTAGCATGTGACGGGCCACATTTAAAAATAAAATAAAATGTAAATTGGAAAGCATCAAATAAAATAAGAAAATAATAATATACAGTAAAATAGCATATAAATAGAAAAATAAACCATTTAAAGAGTATAAATGATTTAAAGGGAATGAGGAAAATGGTCATAAAATGATAAAGAATGTATTAAATTAGCATTTTACTAAAGGCAATTTATTAACAAAGAAATGTTTTTGGATCAGAGAAAGAAAAGGAGTATTTATTGATTGTATGTGTATGTGTGTGTGTGTGTGTGTGTGTGTGTGTGTGTAGAAGTGTGAGCATCAGTGATGCTCAGACACACTGACCCTTCTATCACCTGCTTGTATATGGTCACTTAGGGCCTGGCAGCCACAGTACAAACAACACAAACACACATTTTCACACACGAATGGCTGGGAACTTTTGTGTTAAACATGTTCTTCCCCTCTCCTCTCTCTGTACTTAAGACGTACAATAACATACACACACACACACACACACAACACAACACAACAGACGGAGGCCATCACCTTGGCAGTGTCCTAATGAAGCGATATGAAGGACTGAGTGCTTTAGCTCAATAATTCTAGCAATAGTTTCCATTAGGAGCCACTAACACAGTAACATAACCTCCACACACAGACACACACACACACACACACACACACACACACACGTAGCAACATGCTAACCGACTTCTGCCCAACCCCCTTCCTTCCCATCTCACTTTCTCTCCTTTTCCATCACTTCTTTTTAACTGTGTTTAAGAGCTCTGATTAATTCAAGCATTCTCTTACAATTCTTTTTTCAACACATCTCAGTATATAGTCAGTTATTGTGTATGATCTGGCAGGTGTGTGTGTGTGTGTGTGTATGCAGCAGTTTCTCTGGAGGCATGTGGACATTTTCACATACTCATCAATAATGTATGAGACTTACAGTATATCAGAATCCGTTTTCATACAGTACCATTTTAATGGTACAGGACATGTTTTGTGCTCTTTTATTTAGTGGATACAGTGAGCCCTTTAGGTAATCAAAGAAATTGCACTTTATTTAATGTTCTGAGTTCCCAACAAATGCAGTAGCCTCTCACTGCAGAACAAAGATCCAGGGGCCGGAGTTGGATCCACATCTAGGGGGTGGAGATGGGTGGGTTTATGGATCAGGGGGTGGAGACGGGTAGGTTTAGGTATATGTAAGGGGGGAGGAGTTGGATCTGGATCCAGCCTCGCCCCCTGGATCTTGTGTTCTGCAGGGAGGACCATCTCAACAAATGCCCTACGATGAAACAGATAATTGACCGTTCTGTATGTCAATTATGTTTAGACACTTATTTTTATTTTATTTTTGACAAAGCACTGTGTTACACTAGAATATGTTAAAATATTTAAAAAATTCAGCTTTATTTAAAGGTGCCATAGAATGGAAAACTGTATTTACCTTGGCATAGTTGAATAATAACAGTTCTGTACAAGAAAATGGCATACCGTGAGCCTCAAACACCATTGTTTCCTCCTTCTTATGTAAATCTCGTGCATGCAAAAGACCACTGAAAAATAGGCGAGTCAGAACATAACACCGACTGTGACGTTACTGTCGGGATCACTAATAGTTACACCCCCAACATTTGCATATACCCGCCCATGTTCTATGCCAGCCGCCAGCCGAACCTACACAGCCGAATCAACAGAAGTTTTACAGGTATTGTGAAGAAACAAGCGAGGATAATAGCGAAAATGGCAGCTCATGGAAATAAATGTTATGTTCCAGGCTGTGCAGGGGATGTGATGTGCAGGGATGGGTTGGTGTCTGTGCGATCGCAAATCTCGAAAGTGAAAGTAAAAAGCGATCGTGCATTCGAAAGCAGTTTCAATGCCCCGCATATTAATAGCGGCTCCCTGATGCCAGCATTTTATATACAGTATAATTACCCAACGATATAACTGCAAGAGTATTGAAAAATATATTGCTGTGTGAACTACTGAAATGAGCCGCACTGTGAAACAGCCAATCAGAGCAGAGCTCAACATTATTATTCATGACCCTTCCAAATAAGGTAAAAACAGACCATTTCATTCTAGGGACAAATCCTAGGGTTGTAAATGGACATGTAAAACCGTTTCTGGAGATTATTTGCCCTTACCTAAGCCACATACCTTCTATGTAGATATCAGAGAACAATTTAAAATATTGTATCAATGCATTCTATGGGCACCTTTAAAGGAATGTGTCACCAAAAAATAAAAATCCTGTAATTATTTACTAACCCTTATGTAATTCCAAACCTGTATACTGTTGTCATGCAAGCATATGTTTTTTTTCTATTACTTTAACTCATCAAATTTATTCCACAAACTTCTGTTTAATTATATGAGATTCAACTTGATTAAGTTAGTTTAATATAATTTAAATTACTTGGGGAAAAAATGAGTTAAAATTTGTGGAAATGTTTCAAAGTTTGTTTCAACTCTAGCGCAAAATGACATCAGGTGTGTTTTTGCTTTATGCTTTTTATTTAGTTCATGCTGTAAATTAAATCGTTATGTATTCATAATTATTATTGTTATTTTATCATAATTGTACAATACTATTGAATTTTGTACAAGCAACTTAAATAATTTCATCCTATTTTTTTTTTCTTTCAAAAAATTTTTTCCACGAAAAGAAAATTATGAGTTTCCCACGCATAATTATGACATTGTGGTGTCATTTATCTCATAAATATGATATTTCCAACATCACTTGAACGCACCGTATAGCTTGGCACATTAGTCTAGAATTAATGTGCAGGTGTGCAAGTCTGAATATATCATCTGTTTAATGTTGCTCATCCAGTCGCATTTGTAATGTATTATTCTTGAGTCTTTTGTTTTTAAGTGTTACATAATGTCAAGCTGTTTTGGCACTGAAATCGAGCTTATCATTCATTAGTTAATAATCTTACTGTCTGATTTGTATTCATAAATATGAATCTAATGAGTTAAAAAAAAATCTAATGAGATGAAGCCCCTTTCATTTTTAAAGCATTTAAGACACTACATTATTGAATATTCCTGTAGTAATTACTGTAGTTTTGGGTCTGAAGCTGCTTGTGCAGTATATGATACACCTAACTATGAGACTGGCTGGTAAAAGATGCCTGGTTGTGGCTCCGCTCTGAGTGCGAGGACACAGTGAGGGATGCAGTTCTACAGAGCAGGAAAAACGATATGATAAATAGATGAGAGCAGTTACAGTAAATGGAAGAACAGGAAGAAAGAATTTCTCTTAATGACATGTTTTAATATCCTCGTCAAAAAGCGGCTGCTGGTTGAAGATGTATGAGGAAACAGCAGTTATATCATCTTTCCTTCCTCCCTATTCATCATTCACTGGCTATAGTATCCAGATTCTAATTTCAGCCTTTCAATTCTCTAAAGCTTTCTGCTCAGTGTTTCATTCATTTCTCCATTTTGTCAATTGCTCATCACATGTTGGAGCTTATTGTTTCACTCTCTGTTTTTTTGCTAATGTAGATAATAAAGGTTTGAGTCTCAGCTTGAAAGCAATGCAGTGTTTTTCTTTAGAAAATCCATATATTTACCTGACAACAAAGTCAGTACGATTGGAAGTGTGTGTGTGTGTGTGTGTTTGCTGAAGTTAAGTGCAGTGATTAAATCAATTGCTACATACCCACACACACATGCACACACATGCACACACATCCACACATCCAGCTGTAGATCCTATGTCTTTTGTCTTTCTAATTTATTTTTGTTAATTTGTACTGTTTTTACTTCCTTTGCCTCACACATCTGTATCAACTTACACAATTCAGATTTAGGTATATGGGTCTTTCCATTAAAAGCTTTGCAAATCATGTAATTCCAACTGCAATACTTCAAGCAACCAACTTAATGGGTCTTTGTCACCTCAGGCTCACTGGAAAAATGTGCCTGTTCTGCAAAATTATATTACATTGCTACTTGCATATTTGGCGACAGAAATATTTCTTACAGTGACTTATGCAGTGAGTGCAACTAAAAGTGTGTTCAGTTTTATCCAAAACAAATGAAGATGAACGTTAAACAGATTATGTGATGAAAACCTCAAATTGTATTCATTTATAAATAATGTACTATGGAAAACGTGCTTGTATTAGCTGTTGTTTGTTGATAGTTTAAGATAAATGCTTTTACATATGCACTTAACTGGTGTAAACATGAAATTGAACATGAACTTACATTTATGAATTAACATAGATACGATTTCCTTTGCCTCGACATTTCAAAAGTCCACCCTGCATCACTGCAAAGTACATATCAGTGGACATTTCAGACGGTTTCACTGTGTTCTGATACATTAAATCACCTTCACTGACATGTATGGCTGGTTGCCTGTGATTTATAAATCACACTAGAGATTTCAAACTATCAAAGAGTCACCCTCCCTCCTGTGTCTCTGTTTTGTCCTTCTCACTTTTGCTCTCTTTTACCCTCAGGCTGTTAGTCAGCAGTTCTGTGTTTGGTGTGCATGTGTGTTTCCACTGATTTTACTGTGTGTTTGCTGTGTGTCAGTTGTGTGTGCATGCGATAATTCAGATAGATGGATGACCTCTTGTTTAATGGCTGATGTAAATAACCTCTATCTGCTTCTGTGGGGTTGATATACGAGTGAAACTGGTTCACCTTCTGTGTTCTTGCCTCTGGGTGACCTGCTTCCTCCAGACACCACACCACAGCTGGCCATAATGACACCAGCGGTTTTATGTGTGTGTGTGTGTGTGTGTGTGTGTGTGTGTGTGCTGTAGGGTGTAATAGCAGCCATTCTTTCACTCTTCACTACCTGCACGCAGGTACACTCAGATAGGTGTCTTGTGTTTCAGAATGCAGATGTAATTAAAGTTTGTCCTCATCTGATCCGATAATTAAACATTTACTACAGAAACATGCATCTGTGACACCTGTGCCTCTTTCTCTCTTTACAGTGCAGCAGTGACTATGCTCCAGTGTGCGGATCTAATGGCGAGAGCTATGAGAATCACTGTCTCCTGCGCAAAGAGGCCTGTAAATTGCAGACAGAAGTGCTGGTGGTGTCAGAGAGTGCCTGTCCTGTCGGTACGTCCCTGTGTCGTGAGGTGACTGTCCTTCCTGTGTGTGTGTGCCGCTGGACGTCTCCACGGTGCCTGTTGTACTGAAATCATTCAAATCATTCAAATCATTAACACTATACAATAAGGTTATGTTTGTTTATGCATGCATCATTGTTTATCATGAACTAACAATGAACAATACTTTGTTCATATTATTGAACAAATCATATTATTTGTTCATAATGTTCATATTGATCTCAAATCTCTGCTTAAAACTGGGCCAATATTGCACAAACCATAACACAAAAGTTTGTTTTGTATTCCAGTATAGACATCTTTACAATATTTAAACGTCCTTTGTTTTAGATAACATGTATTTATGGTAGTGTTGCTTTTCAAATAAATGTATCTTGTTTTAAAGATAGTTTCACTGAACAGCAAAACAAACAAACAAACAAAAAATTATTATGATTTTGTTTATTTTCTAATGATTTGGTTATACTACAATCAGTGTTGGGGTAATGCATGACAAGTAGTGCGAGTTATGTAATCAGATTACTTTTTTTCAAGTAGGTAGCAAAGTAACGCATTACTTTTTAAATTTACAACAAAATATATTTTATAGTTACTGTTTCAAATAAGTAACACAAGTTGTCCCATTTATTCACTGACACCTCTCCTGTCCCTGTGTTGAAAGAAATTAGGAGTGAGGTGCAGAGACAGAGGTACTTCCTTCAGACTGAGGCTTATTAATTCACTTTCGGTGTGAAAAGGAATTTACAGTTGCCAAATAAAAAAAAAAATTTTTTTTTGTTGTTGTTATTAGCAAAAAGCAAGCCCAGCCCAGATGACAAAAAGTAACGCAAAAGTAATGTAATGCATTGCTTTCCATACAAAGTAACCAAGTAATGCAATTAGTTACTTTTTATAGAGGAACACAATATTGTAATATATTACTTTTAAAAGTAACTTCCCCCAACACGGCCTACAATAAGGTATAATTTGTTAACATTAGTAAATTATTGAAGAACAATATTTTAACAGCATTTGTTAAAGGGGACATAACACAGTTTCTGCCTCGTGTTAATTCTGAATACCTATATAGTAGTATTGCATCCTTCATATCTCCAAAGAGTCTTTAGTTTTATCAGATTTATAAAAGACAGATACAGCTTTACGCTTCTCTCTGAAAACAGTCGCTGGGTTCTTTCAGAAGCTGAACAAGGTTATCTTTCCTTCACAACCAAAAACACACTTCTTTGGTGACTGTTGATTTTGTGGTCTAAAAACAAAATGACAAATTCTTCTCGAGCAAGTCCTGTGCAGCGCAGCCGATGACTTCTGTAACCCGAACGAAGCACGCTGATGGGCTGCTCTCGATCTTGCTCTGGTTGATGTGTGCGTGCACTCTTTATGAAGTGCCCATACAAGGAATTACGCCCTTTATGATGTCATACAGGGCCATACTCAAATAAAAAACTTTCCAAAACTTATATGAACCTTGAAGAAGTGTATATGGCACAGAAATACGCTGTCATACGTCCAACTCATTTTTTGAAACTTTGTCCATGTTTAGCATGAGAATCCAACTCTTTAACAGTGTAAATAAGCATGAAATAGCATTAGACCTTCCCTTTGACCTAGGTTAATTCATAAAAATATTGTTTTGACTTCTCAAATAAATTTGTTATAAAGATGTTTAGATGGTTTCACTGGACAACAAAACAAGCAAAAAAGGATTAATATTTTGGTTATTTAGGTAATAATTTGGTAACACTACAAGAAGTTAAAAAATGTTAACAAAAAACAAACAACATTTATTAATCTATAGGATAACTTAAATTCATAGAAAATAATTTTTTGTACTACATTAGCTCATTTGAAATGTTGAAAATGTATGTAGAAGTGATTCCACATCATAAAAATCAATGATTTTGGACATTTCAAGCAAATTAATTTTGAATATGCATCTTACCAAACATAAAATCATACTAACAATACAAACAAACAAATAAATAAATAAATACATTTATATTTAATAAATGTATCATCTTTGATAACAGATTTGCACAAAGAATTGAACCTGTGTGTGCCACTTAAAAAATGGTGTTCCCTCAAACAAAACAAAAAGTAAGAAAGAAAGAAAGAAAGAGAGAATAGGAAGGGTTAGAATCAGATTCACTCCATGTTAGAGCTTTTATTAATGGTGGAGTTCCCTTTAAAATCTTAAATGATTCCCTTTGAGCTAAATTATTATCACTGTTTCCCTTACACCAATAAGCGGCAACAAATTCAAAGATAAATTCAACTGCAAACTCCCATTAGCAGGGAGCAGTGATATGTTCACATGCTGTCGACACTCAGAGACGCAACATTCCACAGTGAAAAGGCTAAATGTGCTGACTTGTGGCCACACCGAGGAGGAAATAACAGTGATTATGAGCTAAAGTAACGATCATTCTGCGGCAACAAATTCAAAGATAAATTCAACTGCAAACTCCCATTAGCAGGGAGCAGTGATATGTTCACATGCTGTCGACACTCAGAGACGCAACATTCCACAGTGAAAAGGCTAAATGTGCTGACTTGTGGCCACACCGAGGATCATTCACTAACGCCTAATGACTCTGAGAGTGACGAATGCACCTGGTGTCGGGTGAAATACAGAACGACATAGTTGGTTCTGAATGTTAATGGTGATAATGACACTTCTAAAACTGGGATATATAACAATCTTTAAAAAAGAACAGAGAGAAACATAGTGTTCAGAGATCGCTATGTCACAGATTTCTCAATTACAGTATGTTTCATTTAAGTAAATGACTTTGTCTCAGACATTTGTGCAAAAATTCTTATATTGTACATTACAAATTGTTAATGTACAGTACAGAGTTAATGTAGTACAATATATTAATGTGTATAGAGCTATACATTTAATGTGAATTGTTTAGATAAATTGGTCTTCAAAGATTTTAATGGCAAATGTTTGAGTTCATTTTAAAATCTCTGGGATTTGATTGTGGCATTTTGTTGAGTCAGATCACAGATTGTAAATTTTCTGTTATATACAGCAGAAACACATTGTGAAAGCTCAACACACACATGCTGTTGCAGTTACAATGCGTTTGGTGTGAAACAGGCAGGGCCGCATTAAGACCTCACTGGGCCCCGGGGCTATGACTTACTGCAGGGCCCCCCATCACAATAATTATATATATAGCTTAAAATAGGATTTTTATCCAATCAAAAGTTTTGATGCATTGCAATTTCACAAGTCTTGTTACCAGTTCCAATATCACAAAATAAAAAATACTAGCCTAAGTACAAACAAACTTACTGAAGACAAGTAAACAGTCATGAATTGCAATAGAACAAAGAAACTGACCTACAAACACTTAAAGCACTGAATAAGAAATATTATATTGTATAAAATAAATAGCCTACAAGTAGACTGAATAGTCTTCACTGCATAAATTAAATATACATATTTTACAAAAGCGATTCGATCAAGGACAGTGAGTGATTTTCTTTCTAATGTTTAATTTAAATTATTGACACTAATAGCAACAGCAGTTATATTAGGATGCTTTGGAGGAATAGTTCACCCAAAAATTAAAGTTATGTTGTTGTTGTTCTAAACCTGAATGAGTTTCATTCTGCTGTTGAATGCAAACGTATATATTTGGAACAATAGCCTACTAGTAACTAAACAGTTTCTGTGCCCCCGTGACTTCCATAGTATGAAAAAAAACACTATTGGAGTCAACAGGGACCAGAAACTTTCTGGTGGTTACGAATATACTTCAAAAGATCTTCTTTTATGTTGAGGAGAACAAAGAAATCCATACAGGATCAGAAAAACTTGAAACTGAGTAAATGATGACAGTATTTACATTTTTGGGTGAACTATATCCCTTTAAAATCTCATATACACTCTTAAAAATAAAGGTGCTTCACGATGCCATAGAATAACCTTTTTGTCTAAATGGTTCCATAAAGAACCTTTAACATCTGAAGAACCTTTCTGTTTCACAAAAGGTTCTTTGTGGCGAAAGAAGGTTCTTCAGATTATAAAAAGGTAAGAAAGAGATGGTTCTTTAAAGAACCTTTGACTGAATGCTTCTTTGTGGAACCAAAAATGGTTCTTCTATGGCATCGCTTGAAGAACCTTTTGAAGCACCTTTATTTTTAAGAGTGTAATGCCAGGATCTCATAATAGCCAACTAGTGCACATGCTTTATCTTTAACTATTAACGTTCATTTAAGACACAAATGACTGTGTTGACGAGGCATTTTGACACATAACTATGTGTATTCGAACGTTTAAACACAAGACGCAAAAAATAACTCTTAGTTTAGTCAGGCGCTGTACGAGCAAGTGCGCTTCGCGCGTATCAGAAATTTCAGCGCATTTGCCGTAATTAATTCTGCCCCACTGCTTAATGTCCCTAAACAGTTAAATTAGTTTTTAAACCAAAATGCTTAAAATGCTTTTAAATGAAAAGCTTACATCATGACGTGCAAAATGAATTTCTCAACCCATAAGCGAATATACTAGGCCTATAGAGTTTTTTCAAACACAAAAAGCAACATCTATCAAGTTAATAATCAAACTAACCTAAAATCTGTGGGGATGATGATGCTGTGTTTTTATCTGCTCCATTTGTCCGGTCCATTTTGTAACTCCCACTCCATCATCAGCTTTAGTAAAATAAACTAGCTGTGGATTTTAGTGATTCACTCATGTTTTCTCCTCTCTCCTCATTTTTTTCTCTCACATTTTTTGTATTTATTTTTTAGAATAGTTGACGTTTTTACTTATTTACTTGAGATTGTTCTTTGCATGACCATTTCTAGATTACACCAGAAGGAAGTGAAGAGAGGTAAATGCAGATGTTAAGCGCAGCAGCGATCACCTGATAGATAGGCTACGTGCACAGTTTGTTCAAAAGTAAAATATATAATAAATGCATTTGATTGGTAAACCAAATCTCTAATGGTAATGCATGAAATTTATGGAAAAAC